AAGGGGACTCCGGGCGCTCGTCTTCCTCCTCTTCCCCGGCCCGAGGCCAGAGAGATTACTCCCGCGCCGTCGGCCTCTCGTCACAGTGTCCCTCCCCATTTCGGTAGTGCCTCCCTCCGTTCTTCCTCCTCGCTCCATCTCTCCCCCTTAGTTTTCGGTGGTAGCACGAGTAGCCTCCCCGTAGCTAGCCGGCGCCGCCCCGACCGTTGTCGTCGCTCGCCGTGTGCTCGCCGCCGTCGCCGCCCGAGCTCCGTAGCACCCGGTCGTCGCCGGCCTCGCTCGGCGTAGCTCCGCCCAATCCGACGCTAGCAACGGATTCCCGTGGCCGCATAGATGCTCTCACCGCCGGGAATTGGCCCCTCGTGACCTCGTCGCCGTTTCCCCCTTTGCTCTCCGCCGGTTGCCGCCGCCGAAATCCGCCGCCGACGGACTCCCTCCGGTGAATCCAAGCCGTTGGCTCGCTCCCTCTCATTCTCCCTCGTCATTCCGGTGTACGCTCCGTCGCCCCTCATCGTCGCAAGGCGCCCCGGAGAAACCGCCGCCGCCCGCCGTCCATTCGCGGCCGGCGCCTTCGCCTTCCTCCCGCCAGCCCACATGGCAGCCACGTAGGCGCCACGTCGGCGCCAGCTCGGCCGAGATCGGGTCGTGCCGACCCCGGTCAGCCCCTCCCGTGCGCGCGTTCCACCGCGAGCCGTGAGGCTGCGCGTGGGCCCGCCGCATCCATTCCACCGCGAACCGTGCGCATGCACCGCGTCCCAGCCCCGCCCGCGCGCGTGCGCCGCGTGCTCGCTCCGCACGGTGAACCGTGTCACCGACAAGCGGGTCCCACCCGGGACCGCGCGCGGTGAGCCCGGTCCACCGGCTCTCTCTCTCCTCCCTTCCGCGCGCGCGCGTGCCTTGGGCCGTCTTGGGCCGCCTTGGGCCAGCCAGCCCATTTAGCTCGGCCGGACCGCCCCAATTCTCTTGGGCCGCGCCCTAGCCGCCCGAGAAAAGTCTATATTCCCTCCCCTTTTCTTTTCTTTTCTTTTCTTTTCTTTTCCAAAAAGGATTTAATTAAATCCTTTTCCTTTAGACCAAAAATCCAATAATCTTAGAAATTCAATATCTTCCCAACCGTAAATCCGTTTGATTCCGTTCAACTTCCAAAATTCCTCAAATCTCGAGATCTATCTAATGGCACGCTTAGAGGTCATTAATAGGGCTTTATTTTCGCCATTTGTTGAGTTGTCCCGTTTCGCGTGTAGCTTCGGAGCCCAAAGACCCGCAGTGCGAGGATTTCGAGGATCAAGCTCCAGATCTCGAGCAAGGCAAGCCACCTTTGAACATCTTGAGCCTATATTTGAAATTTAATTATGTTGCTTGAAAAATATTATGCATTGATAGGATCGCACTTAATCGGTTATCCCGTTTGCAAGGCAGATTGGCGGACCTACCTAATTTGTTGCATTTGATCCTTCCTTTGCTAATTGTTATATCATGTCCCCTTGTAACCATTTAGTTGCGTCTCGATATTCGCGCACCCTGTGCGAGTATCGACGGACGCCTTCAAACTTAAAATCTGAATAACAACTTGGGTAAAACTTGGGTTTTACAAAAGACTTGGAAAACCCGACACCTCGGTTGGTGCTTGCGAACTAAATGAATTTCCAAAACCGTGGACCGGGGAACGTACCGGGTGTACGGTTTCCCGCTCTTGCACTTAAGGACCGTTTCCTTGGAATTTCATCCAAACATAAGACAAGTACGACCACATGGGTGGAATGGGACACCCCTGGCTGAGTAACTAGCTTATCAGGGGAGCCTTGATGCCGAGAGACATGTGGATTCGTTGGGGTGGTGTCGGGGAGGACCCCTGGGCTTCCTGGCACAGTATGGTCTGGGACCTAACCTGTTGTTGGTCTGGGACCCCTCTCATCGGCATATGGTAAACCTGTGTCGGCTTTCGAAATGCCTTGTCATGAAAGCTTGGAGGTCTCCCGACGTGGCTGATCCCCACGGGCTAGGTGATCCGGGTTAGTAATGTCGTGTGGGTAAAGTGTACCCCCTCTGCAGAGATTAACAAACTGTTCGAACAGCCGTGCCCACGGTCATGGGCGGATGTGAGGTGATTCCTAGCGTAGTTTTGTTTCACTACTGCTTGTGAAATTGCTGTTGTGGAAAGGGGTTCGCTGTTTGAAAAATCTACAGCTGATGGGATCAGCTAGGCTCGGGTGGCCGTTTGAAAGTTGTTGGCCCGGGTGGCCATTTGAAAAGTTGTTGGCCGGGTGCCAACCTTGTTTCAATTCTAAAGACTGATACATTGCACATACTCCGACCGGACGAGACGCACTGTCTCATCCGTGTCGTTTGAGAAGCACTCACTTAGTTGTTTTTAGAAAAGAGTTCAAATAAAATCAATTGCAAAAACAACAGCCTTTCCTTGAAGCTTGCATTAAACACTTATTTCCCATGGCTTGCTGAGTACTCCCGTACTCACCCTTGCTCTATATAAATAATTCCCCCCCAGTTGCTGAAGAAGATGAAGCGGAACCTGCTGATGAGGAGTTCTTCCAGGAGCAAGCCGGCTACGATGAGTTTGAGGGTTTCGGCCTAGTTCCCAAGTCGCGCCTGTGTTGTTTGGTCCAAGTCCTGGTTTCCGTTTCCCTTTTGTAATGCAGTTGTGAGCTCGGGATCTGTCCGCAGCCCAACATGACTGTACCTATACTCTATAATAAAGAGACCTCTGTTGCTGTGATATTCTGTCTCTCTGTGATACCAGCACTGTTTCCTGGGACTGGTATCGATTAACAGGTTAATTTGGAGCGTCACGGGCTAGTTCCGGTCGGGACTAGTTCGGCGCGTGATAGGTTTCCAGAAAAATGACCATCATTCAGGTACAGCTTTGATCAGCCTCCTCTACAAGCATCGCCTAACGAAGAGATGAGAAAACCAGAAAGCACTGAAGAAGCAGTACAAGCCCAAAATCCTGTCGGGGACACCTCACCAGTCTTCTAGCCTCAAACTCTCCAGCAGTGCCTTCCGTTGTGGTGATTGGCATGGTAGAAGCAGGAAAACCTCGGTTGGAGCTCGGCAGACGGAGGTGGAGATACCATCTCCTCCCTGCCGGCTCTCTTGCCATTGTCAATGAGCCGCGTGCGCAGAAGCGATGCTACAATCGCAAGAGTCTACCACTCCGGGCGGCGATGCAGCAGAACCAGGGCTCAGGCCGCCATGTATCCTCACCACTCTTGTGGACGCAGAGCTGAACGGAGATACGAGGCATTTTACACTTTCCCGACGCCTCGTACTCCGAAACAACGCTACTACACATGTAGAAGGCTCATATAGAATAGTAGGAACAATGTGTGGTGTACCTGTATAGTATATAGTTAATAATACGTGCATTGCTACTTAAGTGCACGAACTATACGTATATACGTTTATATGTTCAAGTAGCTCAACTCAATGTTCAAGCATTTAACGTGTTGAGTTGGGAATAGGCCACTGGTTAATGATCTGGTTTAGTACCGTGTCCAATAAAGGCTAAGTACTTTCTGGACAATATCTCTACCAAATAGTAATATCTTGTCAAATACTCCCTCAGTATTTTAATATATGACGCCGCTGACTTTTTGACCAACGTTTGACCATTCGTTTTATTCAAATTTTTTGTGCAAATATGAAAATATTTATGTCATGCTTAAAGAACATTTGATGACGAATCAAGTCACAATAAAATAAATAATAATTACATAAATTTTTTGAAATAAGATGAATGGTCAAATGTTGGACAAAAAGTAAACGGCGTCATACATTAAAATATGGTAGTATAATATAATACTTCTGGAGTAGGCAGCTACTCTTTCTCTCGCGTATAGTCTCTCATTAAAATTAATACAAACATAAAAACATTCTCTCCAATAATATATATACTGGTGTGCTCAAGCTTGATTGGTAACTATGAGGCCTAACAAAATATGTATCCCGAGTTCATTGTGAGGCGCAGTCAAATCAGGCTAGACGAAACTAGTACCATTTGCTCTTGGCTTTGTCAATTTGGCCATATCTAGACATACGAGAAAAATGCATCAGCATTGAGTTCGGGGCAGCGAATAGTTCAAATTTTGAAATTTTGAAATATATATAGTATGCACAATGTGACAAATTTTGAATGCCATAACCGTATCGATGCAACGCTACACACACATATATTCTCGTCTTTTGCTTCAACAGAAAGATTACAAGCGAGCCACTTATAACCAGGGTTAAACCCATCCGATTTGATCGTGCATCACCGAAATACCGAAATTTCCGAAATTTTGAAAATTTCAAAAATTTCGGTTCAAAATTTAGTTGAATTTGAACAAATATTAAATTTGCTCATCTGAATATACCGCTATAACCTCTAAAGGAGCAGCTACCTCATTTCGTCCCGGCACCACCAAAGCCTAAAAAGCACTAATAAATTAAATATATGCACGAGCTCCACCGATTGGAGAGCCCAGATGATGTGTTAGTTTTCTAGAGTAATGTGTTCTGTACATCGATCCATTTAGATATATATCCAACGTTTTATATAGGTGGGTGGACCTATATGTTGTATGTTCAAGATGATTATATAATTAAGTTGGTACTCTCGGCGAATCTAACACAATTATTGAAGTCCTCTACCGTCTTCTGTCCACTTTTTATTGCTAGCTACTGGTTGCTGACTACTACTTCTAGCACAACTTTTAGGAATAATCATCGGAGCCATCGTTTCGCTTAGCATATTTTCAAACTAAAAGTAATTTATAAATAAACTTTTATATACGTGTTCTTAGCGATCTAAAAATAAAAGCTAAAAAATAAGCTTAGCCGAAAAATCCTCAAAATCAGTTTTAAATTTATGGTTGAAAATTTAAATTTTGGCTAGAGTGTTTGGTTTAAATCTGGTTAATGTAATTAATGCACTGCACTATTTCATAGTTTCATATATGTGCACTTGTCATATAGCGTACGTACTGCGTTGAGCAGTTGCAGCCAGATAACATGTATATGTATTCAAGAATGTGAAAACATGTTTGAGTTACAGACGGAAATTCTCAGAAATTTTTGAAAGATATTGTTTCTAAATAAATTTTGACATCTGAACAGATTTTCAGCGCAGTCAAATAAATAGAATGGTCAAAGAAGAAAGGAAGGTGCAGTACATTAATATTTTGGAAAATTCTGAACGTTTTGCAGAGTACTGCAGGGATCAAAATTCTGAAACAACGACAATGGAGAACCATGTTACATCTGCACTGCAATATGCGGAAAAAGCCTCTGTAATTCTATTATTCTTTGGTGATATCACCATGACTAAGTACCATTTTTGCCACATGTAAAACCATGACACATATTGTAACCTCATGTCCCAGAGGGAGATGTAGCACATCAACAAAGCCTCGCGCTGCCGATGTGTCCCTAAGAAGCCTAGTTACCCTTTGGACACATTGTCTATCCAAGAAATGTTGTGTTCTATACTATCCCGATGACTCCTCGTCCTAAATTTGTAATAGTATAGTATTTTTGTTTTTTAAACACGTAATAGTATAGTAGAATAACACACTGTAGAACAACATAAGCATGTGTTCTATTTTAGTGCTATATTGCTACCTATATGAACTATAAATGCTTGTTGGAAGTAACCCAGTTTCATACACACCAGTATTATTTAACGAGTCACAGCTGATATACGCGACCAGACTACTTTGATTTTATTCTGTTTTATACAGTACTCGTTCTATTTCAATGAGTTCACGAATTGGACCAGTGAGTACTATATGAATCGGGATAAATTGTACTAGCTAGTGATCCAATATAATTGGTGTAGCTGTTTCCCTGTACTCGAAGGTGTTGCCCTAAATGCTAACAATCTCTCCCATAACATATCAAGTGGCTCAATTCTAGTGATCCAGCGTAGTGTGAGGCTTAAAAAAAGACCATCTCTATAATAAGTGTATGAGGCTTACAAAAATATATCCATAGTTCAACGAATCAAGAAAATCTTTGTCTCAAGCGGTGATTCCGTCTCAATCGAGATATCTCCAACCTTCTTGGTCACCCTTACACCCCGGGTGGAAGCTGAACCATGGCTCACGCCACCCTGTAGCCGATGTAGCCTCGCCACTTGATGTTGTGAACACAGAGGCAGAATCCTGTGCTGATATAAGAGAAAACCTATCTTGTACTGTCCTGATGCCTCCCAATTCTAGCGCTGCTACAACAGTGGAAGCCCAGAACATGTGAAACAATCGAAGCAACTAGCTGGGTAAGTGTGTTGTTTGAATAATATATCACTTACATTGCTACCTATATATATGCAAGAACTATTTATATCCCAATCTTGTCATCCAGCATTCAGTGCGTTTGAGTTACATTAGGCGAGTAGTTAATAAGTTGCTTTACTCCCGTTTCAGGTTTTCGCATGTGGCCAGCCACGCTGTATGCGTCGTAAGGCATATGAAAATCATATATCTCATAGGTCGGGTGGGCGGGCGCCTGTAATTAAAAGTCGATTTTCATAGATAAGTCTCTTAAGATATATCTGTCTACGAAAATATATTTTCACATACAGCTAATCTATGTTGTCCCGATAACTTACGTAGTAGTAGTAGTAGTGTGCATTATTATCGTTGTTATATTCTGCGGCTAATTAAAATTCTGAGTTCCTCACTGAAAGATACGAACAACATATTTAGTTACATATTGAGGCAGAATTTGTTCCACGATAAATTCAATTTAGCACATACACTATACTCCCGCACAGTGCGCACATACATCGTAAGGTATATGGGGTCAAAATTAAACCTAACAATGATTATAGGTCCATTAATTTTCGGCTGTATCTGACCAAAGATGGACGGAAACTAGAGACGTACGCACTGTTATTTTGTACGATATCAAAAAGTATATATTTTGTTTGGGGTTTGCTAGCATTCCTAATTTAATTGGGACGCTACACAACCACGAATGATTCGGCCGTGTGACATGGGATGAATGATTCACTCGCCCCAAATCATGAACTCGTCCGTGATCTCTCCGGTGTGAAGATCACATTTCATTACCTGAGTTGAACATCTCGTGTCTGCTACACCCACAAGACAACACGTTTTCTTCCTGACACCTCCCAACTCTACAACTAATTAACGAATATGCATACACACATATAGCCGACGGTATCCATTCAGGAATATACATGGCCGACAGTTTCTATAGGTGGCCGACTGTTTAAACCCCCTTGTAAAAGTTAGGATCTTGTAGTGAGTTTCTAGACATAAATAAAAGTCAAGTATGATCCATCAGCTCTTTCAATTTGTCAGATTTATGTGCAGGCATCTAGGTTTAGACCCTGTTTAGATGGGACTAAAACTTTTAAATCCCAATCACATCGGATGTTTGGACACTAATTATAAATATTAAATATAGACTATTAATAAAACTCATCTATAATCTTGGACTAATTCGCGAGATGAATCTATTAAGCCTAATTAATCCATGATTACTCTATGTGATGCTACAGTAAACATTCTCTAATTATAGATTAATTAGGCTTAAAAAAATTGTCTCACGAATTAGCTTTCATTTGTATAATTAGTTTTGTAAGTAGTCTATATTTAATACTCTAAATTAGTGTCTAAATACATGGACTAAAGTTAAGTCCTTGGATCCAAACACCACCTTAGCTGGTAAGAATTGAAGTGGACAAATGAAGAAGAAAGACGTCTGAATGGCAAGCACCATCTATTAGGTGCTCTTCATATTTATTAGTCCATGTCTATCGATCTGTGAGTTATTGATGTGTGAACAACAAAACGCAACAAATGAGTGAAAGGCAAAATTCAGGCAGCTTTTCAGATAAAAGAAGATGAAATGGTTCAATAGAAATGACCCAGTTTTTTTCGAAAAACAAGTTGCTAACTGACGTAATTTAGTTTCCTTACAAGGTTATCTCCCTATTACAATAGGTGAGACCTTTCACTAAGAAAAAAGTCAAATAACTTGTAATATAATACGGAGGAAGTATATTTCAACAAAACATTAAAATAATGTTATTTGAAAAAAATTAACTTGTTCAGGAATTATCCTTGCGTACCAAACAACGGATACATATTTCCAACACAGCTTGCTGCAAATCAACTAGAAAAGGAAAGCAAATACTTCATAGTAGCTTAGCTGTGAGTAGAAACTTGAGTAGAGAGGCAAACTACTCTGAAATCACGCGTAACATTGTCTGAAACGTTGCTACGTGGTAATCTCGCAGCTGTAGCTTGTTGGCACCCGCTAACAAATGCAAATGCAAATTAATCAAAGCCTGTGCCACCTGGAATTCCTTGTCTCTGTTAGGAAATCACTCGATCTCACATGAACTAGCACTCACTCTCGCGCAATGTGGTTTTTCTGACGATTGCCGGATTCGCGAAAGTTAACTGAAGAATTTCAGAAACCAGAGCAAAAACAGAGGAAACATAGTATTTTGTGCTACGAACTTCAGCAACATTTTCTCGTCTATTCTTCTCCTTTTATTGGCGATAATTACATGAACAAACAATGACATCACAAGATCCAATTACTGAAAATGCCATCCAACGACCCAAATTCGGCTCACAGTCAGAGCTACCACCAAAAAAAAAATGGAAACATAACAAACAACCGGATGACTGAAACTCTGAATATTTTAGTCACCCGTTACATGCAGAATCAGATGAAACAAAATTAAAAACACATGCAACCAGCTTAATGACTGGTGGAGAAGATGCTGGCGTGCATGATTACTTCCAATGGTCTCAACTATGGGAGTCGTTGGGCATGTGAAGTAGATCATACTATCAGTTACATGCTTATCTGAATTGTTTTAGCGCTCTTCTCTTGAAGAAATGGATTCAGTCCCGACATTTCCCAAGTCTACAAGACCACAACTAGCATGAATTGCTGCAACTAGCCAGATGACTGGTATGTCGGAATGGGAAAATATATTTGGGTAACAGACAGAAATTCTCAGAAATTTTGAAAGTAACTTATTTGTAAATAAAATTTTGAAATCTCAACAGATTTTCACTGCATTCAAATAAATTACAAATGTTAAAGAAGAACAGAAGGTGCAGTTATACGTCAATATTTGGGAAAATTCCGAATCAACGACAACGGAGAAGCCTTTTTGAGCTGCAGTGCATGCAATAATCGGAGAAAGCCTTTGTAATTCTATTATTCTGTGGTAATATCGCCGCGACACATATTGTAACCTTGTGTTCCACATCATGAGGATATAGCAGATCACGAAGCCTCACCCTCACGCCACTAGTGACCCCCTCAGAAGCCTCACTACCCTTTTGGACGCAAAGTCTGAACTAAAAAGGATATGTGTACTATCCCGATGCGTCTTAGTCCTAACATTACAGTATAATAATACACATGTAGAACATCAAAAAGTGTGGAGCTAGATATATAATACCACATTGCTACCTATATAAACTATAAATGCTTGTTTGAAGTAACACAATTTCAGGCACCAATATTTAACGTGCCTGAGTTGAAGTACGCAACTAATAATTAAGCTGCTTTAATTTTCTACGTACCATTTCATGCAGTGTATATACTAGCTAGTGATCCAACATATATAAATGGGTGTAGCTACTGTTTCCCTATACTCGTTGGTGTTGGACTATATGCTGACAATCCCACCCATAACACATCCTTAGTTCAATGTTGTAGATGGGCTCTATTACAAATTCAGAGTGTGGCATGTCTTATGGTTGTTGAACTGACTTGTACTATGCTCAAATTAATTCAGGTTGATAAGAAACCAATAGACGTTTTAGTGTTTTGCTGGAGCCTATTTGCACAATATCCCTGTTAGATGAAGAGCCAAGCCATCATCATAAGCTCGCTATTTTGAGAGCATTTTGACATTGAAATAATGATGATATATATTAAAAAGAATGAGTTTGCTTATGAATTCTCGCGCGCGCTGGGTACCAAAAGTGCTTAAACAAAATTTAGATGTTCATATGGATGGAATCTGGAATAAAGAGCCGGAATATATTGTTTACTTTATTCTTAATTTCTTATCAATCTTACAAAGTGGAAAAAGGAAAAAAAAATCCAGTGTGCATGTTTTCTAGAGCTACATGGTGTTATAATGCTCTGTTCGCTGGAGCTTGTTCCCAACCGGGAACCCGTGCGCACTGAAAACGAAACGGTCTATTAGCGCATGATTAATTAAGTATTAGCTATTTTTTAAAAAAAATGGATCAATTTTATTTTTTAAGCAACTTTTATAAAAAAAAATTGTAAAAAACACACCGTTTAGCAGTTTGAAAAGTATGCGCGCGGAAAACTAGGAAGATGAGTTGGGAAACTTGGGGTAAGAACACAGCCTAAGTGTACATCAGCAGAAAACCTCCATAGTTCTTTCTCTTTTACAACCTAAGTACCTAACTTTATGCTCAAAATGAAGCACATCGAACACCAGAGAGATAACTCAGCGTATCATATTTTTCTTAGGATCCAACTTAAATAAAACAAATCGATACACCGTAAACACAAGTACTTATATCGTGCGAAAATACGAAAGCAATCGCTTAATCTACCCTAATACACCATGCATAGACACTCACTGGGTGTAATCCTAGAAGCTACTAGTTTTTGTTTTTATTTACAAAAGAGGCTAAATCCTAGAAACTAGTAGGACCAAAACCATTCATGACTAGTCAGTGAGTGTTACTCGGAGCAGAAGCTAGGGGTTTTCCAGCAGTGTTACTCGGATATATACTTGCATTGTGTTTCCTGCCTGAACTCTCATATACAGGAAACACGATACAAGTATATATAAGTAATTAAGTAACTAAGTACTCGGCTACAAGGCCAAAAAAGACCCAAGTTTTGTCAAGCGCGGCACAGTGGAAGCAAAGAATGCCTTAATCTCAAGAGCGATGTTAACACCGGCGCATGAACTCACACAGCCTCACTAGAGCTATCTCGCCACAACAAGAGAGACGCGCTGAAGTGATGCAACTTCAGCCTTAGTCTCGCGTTTCAGAAAGGGAGTTAGAAGAGACCATGGATCACTCTGCCATGGAGCCGATGCACACTGCCCACTCTTTTTGATGCAGAATGACACTGGAATTTCGTAAGTTTCACATTTTCTCGATGCCTCCTAGTCCTAGTATACGTGCCAGTACTACAGCCGAAAGCCGGTGAATTTTGTGAAGTACATTTATACCTATATGCATGCACTATTTATGTATGAGTTTGAAGTAACCCAATTTCACGGTTGTTAGAATAAATATAGGCAATCTCTCCAATTGATAATACATCGGGTGCCTTAAGCTCGGTGACTATTAAGCCTAGCAAACTGTATCCTGAGTTCAATTAATTTAGGTGAGCTATGGTACCATTTCAGAGTATTTCTCCATGGTTGTCCGATGAACTTGCGCTACCCATAAATATTCTCCAATAAAGGAACAGTCTTTTTTTTTCAACCTTGCGGAGACGTCCCTCATTTTTTCTATGTGACCCATGAAATCACCAAAAGTTTTTTTCTTAAAATCTAACAGGATGATGAATATATGGCATATTACTCTATAAACGTGTAAGTATTAGGATAAGAAACAGAAATTCCCTTTGAAATTTTAAAGTAAATTAATGTCTAAATATATATACTTTGAAATCTGCACAAATTTCACTGCAGTTGGACAAATTTTTATTTGACTCAAATAAATTTTGAGAAAGTAATAAACAA